TGGGCTGCCAAATATGTCATGTAATTTGGTAACATATTATATCCATAAGCTAATAAACAATTMTTACTATCATTAATTATGCATCAGGTTGAATGTGTAGCAGACAAGCTGCAGTCGTCTAAAATCATTGTAACCAAAGGATCACAAAGTGCTACATTTGTCCGTAGCAAGCTGCAATCTGACATYAAGAGAGGTATTCAATTAATGTTATAGAAATGAAAGAAAGTTATAGTGCTTAGAAGGAGGCAATTCTGGGAGAAAGACCCTTAYGAATAAATTCGYAAAAATTAATTTCCGACCRTGCTGGGATTTGAACCCACGACCTTCAGATTTGTACTARRGATGCTCTACCAGCTGAGCTACAAGGCCAGACTGGGAGCAGGTCGGGGTGGATTGCCTCTTTCTAAGCACTATAACTTTCTTTCATTTCTATATCATTTCTATCATAGTGCCATGCGGTCTTCATATTCATATTTTCAATTAATGTTTACTAACAATATTTTATTTGTTTTGACAATGGAAAATTGGCATTACTCCGAAATAACACTACCATCTTTAGTAATGATGTTGTATCTGGAAGATAATTAATTTAACGAAAATACAATGTTTACAAAGCCACTAAGTCCTTTCAATCCAGCACACAAGATCTTAACYCACTAGGTTGTCTACATCTGAGGATTTGTTATATGTGATATTTACAACGAATGCATATCTGATGCCAGTCTGAAACAGTGCACCAGCCACAAAGGAAATCTTTGCTGTGTGAAATTAGTGTATTAAATACAGTATCYCATAAAATCTGGTACAAAGTTTTCAAATTCTATTCTAGATGACTATCTTAGGTTTGCCAGTGGTATCGTCTCTAACTATCTTAGCTTACACTGGAGTGAAAAGCTTCAAGAAGCATTAAAGTAAGTCACAAATTATATTTATTTTTCTGACCAATGAATTGTTACTTTTACACTCACTTTCAAAATCACACAGCCTATGTATTTAGATTGGAAGTGAAGTTATTTATCATGGATTTATTATTTTAGCTTACCAGAASAAGAAACTCTCTTGTCATCTCCAGAGGAACCTCCAGCAAAGGTATAAATGCAGGGGGGGGGATTTGATTTAATTGAAGAAGGGGGGAAGCAAACTTATATCAAGCAGTAAGTACTCTAACTTCAATTTGTTTCTTCATTACAGAAAACCAAAATAAGCAATAAATCAGAGGAGGTCATAGAGGATTACAGCAAAGAATACCAAAAATATAAGAACAAAGATAATGCAAAGGTGAGAGAATTGCACAACCCAGCTTCCTCCTCCCTCCCCTAAGGGAAAATAAAATGAGCATATTGTAGATAGAAGGGTGATTTGCACTTAGATGTACAAATACRTAAAGAAATTGATATAAATTCTTGTAAACAAGTTGAATTCTGCTGAATAATACACCTGGATAGGAAACTGGCCTTCGTGTCATGGTATAAACTGTGTAATTGGTTATTACTTTGTTTTTAATAAGCTAAATTTTGTGTTTTACAGACCCCTGGGAAACTGACTGCAGCTCAGAAGTCATTGTCAAAAGTGGACAAGACGGGAATGAAGTCTATGATGTCGTTCTTTGGTAAAGCAAACAAAAAATAGTTCATATTGTATGCACTGGTAGGATTTTCAAAACTGTGTCTGTGCATGTTTATAACACACACACATTGTAAGTATTCAAAACTACTTTGTAAATATTTCTATAAACTATTTTGAAGAACGAGGTTAAAATGAAAAAGAAATTGATATTTTGGTTTTTACAGTGTACGTAGTGGTCAGGTTTATGTCTGCTAAACTGAATAAACAAGTGATTCTCCAACAACTGCTCATGAATTGRAAACTACCTGCCAATGGCAGCCAACAGACTGACRTACAAGCTYACTGTTCAACTAACAAGTCAAGTGACTGAACAATAGAACTTGCTAACACACTAACTAACTAAATGAACTGCTCAGTGCATGTAACTATCTTACTAACTGACTTATGTTTCTAYTAACTGCTGAGAATGACATAACAGAGCATTGATGTAGATTTGATATAAAATTTATTTAATTTTTGTACAAAAGAATAAACAAGTACAATGTATTTAGATGTAGTATGAGGTGTGGTCTAAAATCACTATGAATCACGTCTAATAATATGCAGAAAACACATTTTTGTATACTTCGTGTTTCTAGAAGTGTGTATTGCATTCTTAAGATGAATGATGTCTAAATAGTTGAAGTAACCATATACAATGATAACTCTCAAGATGGCTGGCTAAACTAGGTCCATATTTTGTACATGTACCTTATACATGAAGGACTATTTAAAGTGGTTATTTTAATGCATTAAACCTATTTTGGTGTAATATGAATGGATTAGTATGGTTTGACAAAAGGATGGAGTGGTTTAAAAAAATGAAAATTTTGTTCATCTAAAGTCTAACAAATAGTGTTAGATGTTAGATGATAATTAGATGGGTGATTGTTAGATGGATAAATAGATGGAGTGGTTAAAAAAATGAAAAACTTGGTCAAAAATCTAACAAATAGTTACTAAATAAATAGTTTCAATTGGTAAATCTTATAATAATGATCACCATGAATATAGATTCAGTGCACCAAAAGATTAAAATTTGAATCTAAGTTGATTTATATTAATGTATAAAAGACCCTTTCCATGCACCCTTGTATACTATTCCTGGAGTAAAATAATACAAATTTGTACAAATCGTGGTCATTGTTGCCAGAGCTGATGGCATGCCAGTGCCTGGTCATCTTTCAACAAGCCAGCTGTAAGGGCCGTAGATCGGTTCTTCACTTTCCCTGTGAATTAATCATTAAACTATTTTACCTTATTATCTAAAAAATAGCAAGGGCTGTAGKTATAATATCCATGATTTGTGTAAAATACAGAGTATCAAGAGCGAAAAAGTAACAACAGAAACGCTTGTAGTAAATTTTCAAGTAGAAATGTTGGCATTTGTAAAATGAATTCCAAAATGACTGTTCTTACCTGTTGAGTATATTTTATCCCTCTGAAGGTCTTCTATTACGATTTCGCTGTCTTAGTCGATGTCTAATTTTATACAAGAAAAAARGTTAGAGAGATTTTTAAGTGTGTTTAGTATATTTGACTATTTTCGAATTTTACTGTTCGTAGTATTATACAATCATCAAACAAGACAACATTTCAACATTCTTTGAACAATATAATGTGTTCTGTGAAAAGCTTACCTTCTTAAAAACATGCAGACAGCCCATACTATTCCACCAAGCCCCGCAGCAAACATAAGTGCTCCAACAATGATATAAACAACAACAGAATCTAATACAAAAAAACATAAATATAACGAAATATTAGAAAACGTAACATTCAAATGTATCTAATAAAGAAAATAAAATCCAAAATTTGCATATTTGGCGCGAAAATTTCGCGAGCGCGCAACCACAGACGACATAGCTCGGAGAGCATCTGATTTTAGGCATAGAAAAACTATCATCATAGGTAAGTATTAAAAATCAACTTACGACTATCCTCAGGCAATTCCTCTTTCTTTATAGTCTTTCTCATGGCTGAWATTTCCACGTCGCCATTAGTYATAGACGGCGCAGTGGATATCTTGCAAAGTTCGTGCGAGAAACAGTGGACAGCGAAGCAATTCTTYTCGATTAGGTAAGCAAGATCACAATTAGACCTCGCACAGCACTTGTGCATACAAACACTCATTGCTCTATGGAAATTAACGAAAAACAAAACAAATTAGCGCGTCATYTGACAGCGAACAGTTTAGAGGTTAACAAAATACGGCTAGATTTAAAAACATTGTTTGCAGGTTTTCTTTTTTTGTGAATTATTGAGGTTGCGTACTTGACTTTTCCGAGGAATTTGAATGTTCCCGCTTCAAGACCACCAACSAGAGTTTTGTTTCTTGAAATCACTGATTTTGCCATGTCATCTGCGTGGCAGTGAGGTTGTACAGTGTCGTCCTCTGCCTCAGCCAAACTCACTCCTTGAACGAGAAACATGCCATCTTATTATTGGTACTGTTAATCATTGGCAACATCATAATCATCATCATCATCTTCAAAATCGTCCATCATATTTCCATCTGCAAACATTGTCAATATCTTACCGTCATTACTAGGCGCAGTGTTCCTTGTCATGTAAGCTATTCTTGGCTCCAAATTGGTTGGTTTCGCTAAGACGGCCTGACAGTTTTTCTCGCTTTTGCACGTGACAGAATAACAACGATTACCAAACATGAAGGCGAGGTCACACGATGTTGCATCACAGCACTGACCAATGCAATCTCGCATGTTACTCACATCAGTTCGTTCAACAAAATGACCTGTGGAATAGAAAGAGAGAAAATGTCATTATTGACTGTTTAAACCTTAGGATTTTAATAAGTGCGTACAGAAACGTAAACATAACGTACCCGAATGTATACCGCCACGTAACGTGACGTTGTACGTAATTGGACTTTCCAAGCACGTTTCACGCGGACTATCTTGTAAAGCTGTAAAAGCAACGSTTGACGATCAATTTGATTACAATATTTAAAAATGGTAATATTTATTCTTACCGAGGGCAGTTCCTTCAGATCCTAGATTCTTCTTTAAGAACGAAACTGCTGGCCGCAAGTTGAGGCGCGAGAAACTCGTAGCAAAGACCGGCTCAGTCTTACATAAGTCATTGCTGTAGCACTGCACRGAAAAACAATGTGTGCCCATCATAAAAGCCACATCGGCCTTGCTCTGTTTACAYTTTAATTCAATACAATCATCCATRGAGTCTACACGACCCATRTTGGTGAACAGACCGGAGTGAAGACCCATCTTTAACGTGACGTTGTATTTGGTTGGCGTAGCAGCGCACGAGTGCTGTACGCGGACGGTAGGGCTTACAGTGGGCAGACCTAGAAAACACATTTTATTGAGTCCCATGAATATATCAGTAGGAAAAGGAGAGGAAACGATAGGGATCACGGAAGTACAGGAAGAACAAGAGGAAAAGTGAAATGAATGATGTAAGAAAAGAAGTAAGGAAAACGAAAAATTATATTTTATAACTAATAACTGACAAATAAATAGATGGTCAATTACCTGTTGTACTCGACATAAAGCTGCTCGAAATAGTAGGATTGGATGTTGGAGTTGTACTGGGCTGAAATGTTGTTGTTGCAAGTGTCGGAGAGACAGAAGATGACACCAAGTCAGTTGCTTCTTTTGACATTAACTCTGTAAAWAGATTATAAATAAATTAAGACATCAAGTCTTATATCTAAAATTGCCGAAGCATAATAATTTCAGTAGTTCTGAAATAAYTAATTATTAAAATTGTCTTACCCTTAAATTTTCGAGTGTATGAGATGCGCGGATAGAACTGTGTTGGTCTTGCTGTGCGCGTCTTACARGAGGAGGGATTGGAYCAAGCTACTGAATAACAATCATCCTCAATCATAAAAGCCAAGTCACAGTCTTGTCTTTTGCAGCAGAATTGCATGCACATGTCCATGGTAGTAGCTTTGCCATTGTCTTTAAACACMCCAGCATTGATTCCTCCAACCAACGTCTTGTTATAAGCGATGTCACCGTCCCAGCATACACCGCCAGAGTTAGGTCGACTTGTAGGCTGATTGACAGCTGAGAAGCCATTGAGTGAAAGGTTAGTTTTCGGTTTTGATTTTTGTGTCGAATCGTTTTGCGTTACGGTATGTCCTGGTCTGTACGCATGCGCWGGTTTGTGTACGTTTCCTTGGTGATATGGTGCAATAACCAAGGGTGATACATTCCCAGCATGCCCTTTCTGTAGTTTGATTTTCTTTAGTCCACCCATGTCAATAGTATGTCCCTGTCTCCATCCTTTCCATGCACCGTTATTAGRTATTTTTATAGGTTTTACAACTACATTGTCACTATGTGGACCTAACACCACCAGACCAAGCTTGTTATGGTGTTTTGGTTGTTTGTGTTTGTGTTTTTCAATGTTTTCCTGTGCTTCGATCTGCGTTAGTACTCCAAATTTTGTAACTTTTGTCTTTTTCGAGTTAATGTAAACAGGTTTATCAACAGGTTGTTTTGTGTTAGCAACATAAGTCATTTTATTCTGAATGTCTTGATTTGTATTGACAAACATGCCCTGGTTATTGGACTGATCCTTTTCACTTTTGCTTCTTGTTCCTGTTTTATTTTTTGTTATTTTTGATTGACTATCCGAGTGTCTGGATGTTTGTGGTTGAGAAGTCAATTTGTTCGTTGAATGTTTGGGGTTATCTGCTTGTTCAGTAATAGTAACCTTATAGTGCGAGGATTTGTCAATCCCTACTAAACGTCCATTGTGTGATTGGTCAGAGTTGTTGGAACCTCCTTTGATCGAGTCCTGTGATTGGCCAGATTCTGGCAAGCCTTCGTTGATTACCTTTTGTAATTGGCCAATCACTGTCATTATGTTTTCGGTTTTGTTTTGTCCTGTCAAACCCTCATGGACGGGACCATTTGATTGGTCGGTTACCTTATAGTCACCCTTGTCGGTGTTGTTATCGTCCAGGTTATCATTGCTTGTGCTCTTGTTGGCGGTAATATCAGTCTTAGTCTGGTTAGATGTATTAGTTGTGGCATTTCCGAAGGGGCTGTCAAGATTGTCAAATATCGCCTTCATAAATGTTTTTGACACCGTTTTAGTATGTTGATCATGCTCATCATGCAATCGTGCATTTACCGTCTTATAGTGATCTAAATGTAATTTAGTAAGCATGCGTCAGAGTGAATGTCTCCTAAACTAAAATCAATATTTTATTAGCCCACCTTGATCTTGACTAGAGTCCATGTTTCCCATGTCATGATAGGTGTACGCGATCTGGGGATGATATCGCCAAGGATTCTTTGCCTGCCTGGTCTTACAAAGCGCGTTGCTAAGGCAACTTACTCCATAACACTCATCCTCAAGAAGGAATGCTACGTCGCATGTACTTTTAGCGCAACACCGCTTAATACAGGAATTCATGTCAGACGTTTTGCCGAGATCCTCAAATTTTCCTGCATTTATTCCACCAATAAGTGTGACGTCTTTTTTAATTTCACTCACATGACATCGCTTTTGTCTGCTTTTGACTACAATGAAAGGAAATTTTGTTTAAATTTTTGTCGTTTTTCACATACTTAAATGAACTATATCCRACAAACTAAATTTTACAGAAACACATACCCAAAGTAGCAAACATTTTCATACCTACAGAGAAGATCTTCCTGTTCGTTACAAAGACAATTGCAGGGTTGTAGAACGCTGAATACGCCGGCTTTGTGGAACAAAGYAGTTCTGATTTACAGCTGACCGCATAGCATTGCGTACCCAACATGAAGGCCAGGTCGCAATCTGGTTGTCGACCGCACGCGCTTGTGCATTGCGAAATGTTAGCAACTCTTCCTTTATCCATGAACTTTCCTGACTTTATTCCGTACTTGAGGGTCTGATTGAAGTGGATTTTGCCTGCAGTGTACACTATTCTCTGAGGCTGGCCATTTTTCATGGTCACAAAATCCTCTTTCATACTAGTTGACGCAGTTTTGTCGGGAATCGATGGATCTTCACTGACAACGAGCTTATCTGCTGGCTTTGAGAGACTGCCTTTACTGGCGCCWGATTCTATATTATTTGTTTTGTTATTTTCTTCTGGAAGATCGAAGTTTCCTAAGGAAGAAAAAAGAGCTTGATTAGRAGAGTGTCAGCTGGTTTTCTCAAAATATCACTTATGATTCAGGAACTTCAACACGATGGTCAACGTTGCTAGATGTCCAAAGTTTCACGCACTGATTTATAAAATACTTTTTGAGTTTTTACCATTCAAATAGTCTCCTTCACGGTTACCTGCGCCATCTTGAAAGATAGCCGTGCCTTTACATRGAAGTGAGACAACCGTTGAGCGTGKAGTGATAGAAACAACAAACTACAGACAATTATTAACGGGTATCTATCATTGCACCCACAACGGTTGTCTCGCTTCGATGTAAAGGCACGGCTACCTTTCAGATTGGCGTAGGGACAGTCAAGTTTAGAAATGYTTTTCTTTAAACACGTGTCATATACCCACCAATCAGCTTATAGACGCTATTAGCATAGGAGCCTCCAAGGATCCCACCACAGTTACGAGATACCCCGTACATCTTGTACGATTCCTCAGCTGCGGGTCCACTCATGCATCTACCGCCATCTTGTAAGGCGAACACTGGGTATCCTTGTTTTTTYGCTGCGTTGGCGCACTTGAGGAGTGGTGTTGTACGGGTCTGGTAGGCGTCATTGAGATGGGGGTCTTTGTGCTCTAGGTCTGTAAGGGCACGTGACTCAGAATCTCTCCAACATCCTGCCTTTGAATACGAACCTAGACATATACAATTAAAAGTCAATCAAATGTCCTTTGTTAAAATCGAAGACACGATTGCTCTTCCATTCTTACCATCGTAGTTCATTCGATATACGTCATTAGCGGCCACCCCTCCTTTTCCAGATTTACACTCGGCAGATTCTCCATACTCCATGAAGGTTTCATCTGCCTTAGGTCCACTTAGACATGATCCACCATTTTGYATGGCAAAAACTGAAAAGAACGCGAAAACATTAGAAAATTAGAATGCAACAACGAATATTATTTCTGATTTAAAATTATCACAAATGTCGGAAGTAGAAATGCACACGGGCGCTCTCTACGTGTGAAATTCTCTTCTTTCTTATTCCCACATTAATAACTCACCTTTATAGCCGCGCTTGTAAGCAACGCTTGCACATGTGTCTATGGGTTTAACGCGTTGCATATAAGAATCCATGAGCAACGGGTCTGTTCCTTCTAATGAAGGGATAGCAAACGCTTGCGCATCCCGCCAGCATCCTAACGAGGCGAATGGTTGATCGGCTAAAATAAAGAAGAACAGGTAATCGATTTCATACTGTACCGTATCAACTTTAGGAAATGCAGGGAATCTTATTCATGGCYTCTAAASTGTAGTCGCTAATGACCTATTTCGCCTTTTAGAAAATTTATGTCTCTACAATGAGCATGGAGGAGAGGACTTCGAAGCAAAATAATTATACCCAATCGATTTCAATCATCACAATTTTATACATGAATAAATTCTCAATAAAGTATTCAGGTCTAGATAGTATACTTAGATAATAGGATCAACATTCTACTTACACCGCACTTCGTCATCGGGTGGGTTCCAGTTCACATAAGAGAGCCTTGGATGGTAGTAATCAGAAAGAGCCTGCTTCACACGACATAATTCATAGTTCTTACACGCTACCAGAAAACAGTTTTTCCTTATAAGAAAAGCCACATTGCAAGTATCGTCAGCACAGCAGTAGGCCTTACACTCATCCATACTGTTAACCGCACCCTTATCGGTGAAACCTCCTGACTTCACCCCTCCCATGAGYGTCACATTGTAAAGAGTGGGCGTGACACTGAGCGCACTACATGATGTCCCAGTTGGCCTTTCTACTTTCTTGAATGGCTCTAAAGACACATTAGAAATATAAGTAACTTTGTCTAAGGTAAGGATAGTGATACGAGAAATACGATGGCTGGTYGACTAGGAGAAAGAGAATCGAAGCAAGAATATAACTTCTGCTTCATTATTTTGTCTGATATTTACCTGCTACGGGACGACTGTTTCCCCTATAGACGTACGCAATCGTTGGATTATACGTCGATGCRTTAGCTCTCTTCATCTGACATCCTAAGCGATCCTCACACTCGACGTTGTAGCAATTATTCTGTATCATAAATGCTACGTCACACTTATTGTCATGACAACAGTGACGTATACAGTCGTCGATACTATTCATGTGTCCATAAGTGTGGAATTTTCCAGCCTTGATTCCGCCAACAAGAGTGACGTTGTAAATGACGTCAGTGTGGTGACATTGTGATGGGGTTGGGGTTGGAGGAACCTGMGGAGTAGGACTCTGGTCTGCTAATCCAGTATGAACATCTTGTGGTTCTTCCTTMATATGATTAATATAAACTATTGTTGGATTCATGTTAGAAGGACGGGAACTCTTAGTTTTACAAAGTTCTTCATTCAAGCAGTCTACAAGATAGCAACTCTTGCTAATCATGAACGCCAAATCACAAGATTTCTTGAGACAGCATTGTCTCATGCACATATCCAGGTTATCAACTCCCAGGGCCTCGCTAAACGATCCTGCCTTAATACCTCCCACGAGTGTTACATTGTGTTGTTCTGTTGACGCTGAACACTTCAAGCTTTTGACGGGATGTGGCCTTTCTTCTTTTTTGGACTGTGGATTGCTCTCTGAAGACCAACGCAAAGAAATTAGTTGAAACTGATTGCAAATTAATAGCATTTGAATAGCATCATCATCTTGTCTAAGATTCATGTTTATCATCAACTTGTCAGTCTAAGGTTGTTAAACACAAGATAAAAATATCTCTTTTTAGATGTTGCTTTATAATACAAACCTGTTCGATACGACAAATGGAAGCCCTTTCCTTCGCCCTGCTGTGTACTCGTGAACTGWATCCACATTTCGTTCCCATTTGAACGCATGACCTTTGGACTGTTGAGGCCACAAAACTCGCCAAGCTCATCACCATGTTCACCATCTTTAACAATCAGCTTTGATTTATCACAGTTACCGTCCTCTTGCAAGTTGAATGAATCAAAACTTAGAGTTACAGCATCTCTCTGGCCAACTGTTATTTTCCACGTGCAAGATTTGGCGCCTTTGTAATTATTTGGCCAATCAGGTGAATTGATGGAGCCACGTGGAGTATTCAAAGATCCGCCGCATGGCTCAAAATCTAAAAATATAAACAATATGATGATTYAAATAGAAATGAATAGAAATTTGCTTTAAATAGAAAAATTGGAAAATGAAATGGAAAACATCTCTGTGAAAATGAAACGAAAAGGAAGAAATGAAAAAATAGTAAGAACTCAATAGGAAAAGATATGATTWTAGCACCTTTGTTATAGTTGCAAGTTTTCATCAACTTTCGTATACCATCCTTTTCCATAGCGTAGTTATAAATCCTAAATTCATCCACTTCTCCATTTAGAAACCTCGAATCTTTGTGCTGACCAATCCCAGCGTGACTCTCCCAATCTTGTGACAGCAGACCGCTGCCTTGGGATTCACCATTCACGTGACCATCAATAAAAACTTTTGAAATTCCCGTATGTGCATCATAGGTTCCTGCCACGTGTGTCCACGTGTTTGGAGAGATGACAGCATCTGATACAGCAAAATATGAAAACCATCACGCTATTGCTATGATTTCTTGCCAATAATCTAATCAATTGGCTTGATGAAATAGTAATACACACCATAAAGACAATTGTGCACAAAGTAACAAAGTATAGTACATTAATAGAATACAAATTACTTCACATCTATGGAAACCACATGGTGAATTATAAATCATCATTTATGTTATTTATTCTGACCTGATTCCACACTGAAGATCCTATTGGCTGTTTCGTTTCTATGGTACCAGCGTAGTTTCCCGTCGCTTATTTCAAAGTGATATTGACCGTCATCATGGCTTGAGTGACCACCAATAGTATCGAAGATAGAATGATGACCCTTGATGTCGTCCAATCGTATCCACGCTGCTATGGTGATGGCATCACGTGGTTTGGGCTGGTGACGTAATGAACGAAATCAATAAGTGCAATGTGTTTTACGATAAATTTGAAGTTTAAGAAAAATAAAAACAAAATAGCTACAAATAATGAGGTAAATTTGTGTGTTAAGAACTATAACATTGATAGAATGCACACGTTTTCCTACCTGGATTTTCGAGGCATCAAGGAGCACGGTTCCACCATCACGAATGATTGCAGAATCACCGCACGCCCCAGACTTCTTTGTTACCTCCATTCGCTTGGCCAGTTCGTCACCGCTACCACCATCAAAATTTAGGTATGCAACTAATTTGTTCAGATTATGTGAGATTAAACCAGGATCTTGTGACGAGTACACCTCGGCACGCATACAAATACTCGCTCCATTCCATGAACGAGGTTTGAAACGAACATAACGTGCTGTGATTGGCTGCTTTAGGAAATGACTGACACGTGTAGAGCTATCGGAATTCCCTATGAAAGTCTACAAACAMAAAAGCATCAAATTTAATGTACTGTTTTTTCCTATGAAAGAGAACTAAAAGTTATGACCGCTGTTGGTTGACAAGAAGCATCTTCTTGCATGACGACCTTAACCTCGACTAAATGAAAAACAAATGAAGCAGCWGAAARTRTGTACTTRRTCCAACTTGAAGAAAAACCTATTTTCCCATTAATTGGTCTAAAGACAACAGGTMGCACGKTTCAYATAATTTGCACAATATATCAAATCAATTTGTTGATTTGAACTATAGTGGGAAATGGCCAMCTTACAGGCTATAGCTGTCATATACCATTTCAACAACCTAACTCGAGTGATTACCTTCTCATGGCCTTCCTCGGTATAATCTGCCCAAATATGGCCATTATTGCTGAATTCTAATGCGTATTCTGTTACCCATATCGGAAACTCGAACATGCCCTGAGTGGCCACGCGACATATCTGTCTRCGCTGTCCAAGATCAATCTGAAGATACTGGAAACGATCAACATGGTTTCTTCCAGCGCACCACGCACCTGCTTGACCTGGTTGAAAAAACATACTTCCATCAGGGTTTTTTACATTATGACTGTTTGATTCTGATTGTATTTATAGTTTTAAATAACATCTTACCATTTTTATCAGGAGTGATTCCTAGTCTTCCCCTTGCTGCAGTATGGTACTTTGAAAAGTCACTTGATGAAGTCAACTGTTTACTTTCAATTTCTCCGCTCTGCATTCCCAATGYAAAATTGCACGATTCTCCTACAAAATAAACACTTGATCTCACAAAAACCATTACCTATGATACTATACTATTCYTTGTGTGTGCACTATATGGTGTGATATTAGACTTTTTCAAAATGGATGATTAGATAATTGAATTACCTTTCTGTAAAGGTTTCTGTACTCTTGTACTCTGTGGAGGTACAGGCAGAGCAGGACCGGGGATTTTTGTCCTCGTACCATAAGCAGCATTATATCGTATCGGTACCGGTTGATCCTTTTGATAACCTGCTCCAGCTTGCATCGTTTTGAGAGTTCTCCAATTCCAAGGTGCAATCTTTGACTTTTGCTGTACAAAAGATGAAGGCTGTTGTTTACCAATGAAACTGCCTCGATATGAGGCGACAGGTTGTACTCTAGGAAAGTAAGATGCCTGGAAATTCTGGACCCTTGGTASCAGGTTTCGGAAGTTATTTCCTTGRTGATACCTCAGTGGAGAAAGAAAAGTCCCCACGGATTTAGCAGCTCCGAATGGAAACGTTTGTCTTTGAGCGTAAGCTTGGTAGTTTTTAACCCTGGCGTAATTTAGTGGTTTTACCACTGGCCTGAAAGCATTTGAGCCCAAAGCATTTTGTGAAACTTGATTGTAGTTGGCTTGACGTTTAAGTATAGTTCTTCCATTAGTTGTACTTGGACTATGAATTTCTTTTTTGGATCCACTTATTCTTCCTTTGTTGACGGCATTTTCGTAACTTTTTTCGCGCTCTTTTTTTGCCTTTTTCTTCGAAGAGGGTGTAATTGACGTTGAAGTTGACACCGATGTCGTCGTCGACGTTTGAGGTTGTGAAGGTTGAGCCGTGGCCGTGGCCGTGGCAGTGGCCGTGGCAGTTGAAGACCCCTTTTGAGTGGTCGATGAAGATGTCTTGGTTGATGTGCCCTCTTGCGGAACAGCTGAAGAATTCTCGGCGCTTGATTCCAGCTTTTTACCCTTTGGCGATTTATCCRCTGAGACAATGCCTGTAGGCGTTGAAGTTGAGGAGCTTGATGACGATGACTGAGGTGGTGGTGGTGATGGAGGAGGTGGTATCATTATTGCAATAGCTGAAAATGTTGAAGTTGATGATGCGTTTTGAGGAACAGACGACGARTTTTTGGGCCTTGACGTATTTTCAGATTTCACCTTTTTACCCTTTGGTAATTTATCCCCTGAGACGATGGCTGTTGCCGTTGAAGTTGAGGAGCTTGATGATGATGACTGAGGTGGTGGTGGTGGWGGAGGAGGAGGTGGTCTTATAATTGCAGTAGCTGAAGATGTTGAAGTCGATGATGCGTTTT